CCTCGCGCACAAAAAGAGCTGCTTTCCTTCCCATCATGGTCAGTAGCTCTTTGATCACCTCAGCCATTGGGGCAGGGTTTTCGGGAGAAGCCTTGGGTCACTCTCTATGGGCAGTTAGAGATCTCAACGCCAAACTTGAGGGAGCCCTGACATCCACTGCCGATTCCCTAGCCTCTCTCCAAAGACAGGTCACTTCGCTAGCTAAAGTCACCCTTCAAAACCGGCGGGCCCTAGATCTGCTTACAGCCGAGAAGGGCGGCACCTGCGTCTTCCTCTGGGAAGAGTGCTGCTATTACATCAACGAATCTGGCATTGTAGAAACTGACATTACCAAACTCACCGACCTTGCCTCCAGTCTCCACTCTGCTTCCAATTCCAACCCATTCTCGTCAATACTAACAAACCCCCTCCTCACCTGGCTCTGGCCCATTGCAGGCCCCATAATAATCATTCTTCTCGCCTGTCTCTTCTTACCCTGTATAATAAAGTTCATCAAATCCCAAGTCAGAAAAATCTCTAATCAAGCTTTCAACCAGCTTTTACTCAGGAACTACCAGCTTCTGGCCACAGAAGATCCCTCACCCTCACGTGACCTCCTCACCACACGCTGAGATGGACCCCTCTCTCCACTGGAAACTGTTCCTGGAAACAATAGCCGCAGACGCCTGGCTCCTGACACCCATATCCTCTTGGCCAACCTATGGTTACAGGGAACCTTCATTGATTTCCAACCTGAAGAAGTCCACATCTACTCGTCCTTACTGTGGGGAGTCCTATCAACCCTTTCCTCCCAATCCTCAAGCCCTCACTCCCTTCTCCGCCCCTGTTCAGCAGGAAGCAGCCAGAGAGAAAGCAACATCCACAAACCCATAGAGGAGAAAGGGGGGAATGAAGGGTCCCCACCAGTAAGATGGCAAACTTCCGGCTTCTCCAGGGTCCTCAGTTCCCGCCGGCGCCACCTGAAGCCCAATCACCTCTCGCCCCCCTCCCAATCCCAGCACCTAGCCAACAGCCAACAGCCCCGTAGAAGTGACACCTCAATCAATTCATGCCCCCTCCTATATAACCCAGCACCTTTCCTTAATAAAGCGGAACTCTCCGGTGAATTGCTGCTATGTGTCGCTCCTTTCCTTTCAGCCAGCATGCTGGGGTCTCACACTTGCAGGTGGAGAGACCCCAAAGTACAAGTTCATTTTTTTTTTATACACAGGAATGGGGTCGTTTGCAGGCGGGCCGTGCGCAGAGCAGAACGTGCGCAGAGCGGGCCTTGATATGACCTGACCTTCACTGCAATTGGTCTCAACTTGTTTACCAACCATTTGGACGGGTTCCTTCTAGGTGGAATGACACTCCTGACCGTCGGGTGGGCAAGCCGTCCACCTTCCACTGGCCGGGAGCATCCAGCCAGCTCTGGCAACTGTGTTGGTTAAATTTTTGTAACTCTTGTAACTTCCTCTTGATGTGACCTGTCTCTTACAAAATAAAGTCACTTATAAAATGGAGTAGCTTATGCCAAGGCTCTTTAGCAGGACTCCTCAATTACATTTCACCTCTTTACACTGCATCTTGCTTTGATTAAAGCTGTAAAAATATGTAGACAAATTCTAGAAGGCAACATGAAGATAAAAGATAATTGATTTGTTTGGCTTTGGTTTTGAGTGATGGGGATTACTTCTCTTTGTTTTCATTACTGGTGTAATTTTGAGGACTTCTAAAAACTGATTAAAATATTCCATTCATTCAGCAACATATGGAGCACTCATTATGTGGAATACTCAGGGCCAGGTGTTGCAAGGAAGACAAAGCAGGCACAGATCCTGCTGTTCAGAATAATAGTAACTGACTCTTTTTAAACGATCAGTATATCCTAGTTACTATGGTCATCCCTATTGTATAGACTGAGAAAGTGGGGAGCAGAGAAGTCAATTAGTTTTCCCAAGATCACACAGTAAAAGCAGAATCAGAATTTTAAAACATCCTTCCCAAATATGCTAGACCTTGGACTTAGCCATTATACCACACTGCTTCTCATGATAGCCTAATAAGATAGAAAGAGATAAATCACATTCACTCATTCAGCAAATACTCATTGAGCACCTACTACATGTCAGGCACCAGACTAGGTGTTGGGAATACATCAATAAGCAAAATAAGCACAGCCCACAGCCCTTGCCTTCTCGGAGCTCACAGTCTACAGAGAAAGCATCACAAGAATTCAGAGGAGATCCAACAGGCACATGAAAAGATGCTCCACATCGCTAGTCATCAGAGAAATGCAAATTAAAACCACAATGAGATATCACCTCACACCAGTAAGGATCACCACCATCCAAAAGACAAACAATAACAAATGCTGGGGAGGATGTGAAGAAAGGGGAACCCTCCTACACTGCTGGTGGGAATGTAAATTAGTTCAACCATTGTGGAAAGCAGTATGGAGTTTCCTCAAAAAACTAAAACTAGAAATACCGTTTGGCCCAAGAATTTCACTCCTAGGAATTTACCCTAAGAATGCAGCAGCCCAGTTTTAAAAAGAACATATGCACCCCTATGTTTATCTCAGCACTATTTATAATAGCCAAGAAATGGAAACAACCTGTGTCCATCAGTAGATGAATGGATAAAGAAGATGTGGTACATATACACAATGGAATACTATTCAGCCATAAAAAGAAAACAAATCCTACCATTTGCAACATATGGATGCAGAGGGTATTATGCTCAGTGAAATAAGTCAGGCAGAAAAAGACAAGTATCAAATGATTTCACTCATCTGTGGAGTATAAGAACAAAGAAAAAAACTGAAGGAACAAAACAGCAGCAGACTCACAGAACCCAAGAATGGACTAACAGTTACCAAAGGGAAAGGGACTTGGGAGGATGGGTGGGAAGGAAGGGACAAGGGGTGAAAAGGGGCATTACGATTAGCATACATAATGTAGGGGATGGGGGGCACGGGGAGGGCTGTACAACACAAAGAAGATAAGTAGTAATTCTACAGCATCTTACTACGCTGATGAACAGTGACTGTAATGGATTATGTGGTGGAGACTTGATGATGGGGGGAGTCTAGTAACCATAATGTCACTCATGTAATTGTAGATTAATGATACCAAAATAAAAAATAATAAATAAATAAAAAGAATTCAGAGGAGAAAGAGAGAAGAGTACCCATCTTTGAAGTTATAGGGAAGAACCATCTCTTTACACTCTCAGTTCCATTCTTAGAAGAACATTAACCATGTGGAAAGAAAAGGGGGTAGGAGGAGGGAAGCACAGCATCCCAAAAGAAGTGAAAGGTGGCACCTCTTCATTCAGCAAGCATTTAGAGACGGGATTCAAAAATAAAGACAGAGTCAGGACTGGCAAGACCTTTAGGGTTCTTGTCAACCTGAGACTCTAGTCCCTGTTCTACTTTTACTCAAATAATCATCAAGTATTAAGTGCCAACCACTGAGCTGGTCCCTGGAAATACAGCCGTTAAGTAGCCATGGCCCCTGCCCCCCAGGAGTTTGTAGTCCAAAGGGGCAGGCATAGCAGTAAGAAATTCCAGTACCATGTATTAAGGCCAGTGATAAGAAGCAGCACAGAATATATGGGGCACTATGCAGACTGGGATCAGAGAGCAAGAAAATGACATCAATACTGAGCAGTGACGCAGAACAAATTGGAGTTAGAAAGGGGGTGGGGCAGGGAGAGTGTTACTGACTTGAGGGAACAGCTTGTATAAAGCCCTAGAAATGAGACCCTAGACTGTAATGATGCTGTGCTTTTAAAGTTGTGCCATTAATACCACTAAATTGCTGACTAAATTGCTAAATTCCTTCATTGCTCAGTCTCAAGTTCAGGAAGGGTTCTGAGCATGGGTACACAACCTAGGGCCAAATTGAAACAGACACTTCACTTAACAATCCTAGAGCTCTAACCTGAGGAGGCTATTTTAGCCCATCACCAACACTTCCCTGCAAGTGTACCTATGCTTCTCTGACCATTCAGTCAGGCAATCAACAAGCCCTGTGCTAGACTCCTGAAGAGTAAGAGGGTTCCACCTGGCTCCTCAGGGGAGAGTGGGGACAGTGTCCTCCACATCTCAATCCCCCAAGGAACCAGTTAAGTGCCTTGCACACAGAGGTACCATTGACTCTACTTAACATAGAACTAAAAGAAAAATTACTCGGATAACAAATTACTATCTTAACCTATGCCCTCCGCATCCCCAGTCCCCACTCCCAACCCCTCTACTGCTGCACATCAGGACACTCCTCCCCCTCTTCAGACTCTGCAACTTACAAATGCCAAGGAGCTTGGTGCAGATATAAGTATAGCTTTGTGGATAAAAGTAGAAGCTTTGGGTGCAAAATAACGTGGGTGGAATCCTTTTATTAGCCTTAGTATACTGAGCAAGACGCTAAACCTGCAGTAGAATCAGTTTTCTTCGTCCATAAAATAATTAACAGCTCTTTCAATAGGGCTCATAATACAACTGGGCTGAGTTGAGGGAAGTAAACGAGACAGTCTGTGTAAGGGTACTATCACGTTGCCTAAATGTAAATATGCACATAAAATGCACTCAATAATTGGTAGCTGTAGTAGAATGTTGTAGATGATGCAATAGAGTTAGACGATAACGATGATGATGATATAAGACAGCGGGTTGTCAATCCCATAAATCACTGGCTGCAGTCATAGCAACTGCCGCCAGGCCAAACAGCTTCCAGCTGCAGGCCTTGAACAGACTGCACGTAGGAGGGGTCGCTGTCCCCACAGACCGAGTCCACGTCCAGAATTCGGCGGGGAGCGCCAGTCTGCGTCAACTGCCCCGCCAGTCTACTGCTCCATTGCTGGCGGACACATGGTGGGAACGTGAGGAGGCAGGGCCGACTCGCGCTGCTGGGCCAATCGCCCGACGGGAGGCTTTTCAGAGTACGAGGGGCGGGGCCACAGAGAGGAGTTGCTGCGTCATAGGTCACTAGGCGGGCTAGGGGCGGTGCCCGCAGCGCGGACAGGCGGAGCGGCGCTACCGTGAGCAGTCCGGGCGGTGATGGCGGCGGCTGTGGTCACCGCTGCAGCGGCGGCCACAGCGCCAGCGGATGGCGCGGATGGCGCCTCCTCAGTGCACTGGTTCCGCAAGGGGCTGAGGCTCCACGACAACCCGGCGCTGCTCGCGGCCGTGCGCGGCGCGCGGTGCGTGCGCTGCGTTTACATCCTCGACCCTTGGTTTGCGGCCTCCTCCTCAGTCGGGATCAACCGATGGAGGTGAGGGGGCCCGGGGCGGGGTTGCGGGCTCGGGGGACACAGCCTGGCCTCTGGGGCGTCCGAGTACAGGCCAGGTGCCCCCACCTCGCCGGGGACGCTGGGCCCTCCCTCAACTCTCTCGTCCCCACGGCTTCCCGTAAGACTCTGGCCTGAAACCTGGGGCAGGGAGACAACCGGGTCTCCAGAGGGGAGAAGCCAGGAGGGGAGAAGAAATTAAGTCGTCGTAGCAATCGCCTTCTGACAGAGAGCGTTTACTCTGTTATTTCCTTTGGGGCCTCACAACGTTCTTGTGGAGCAGAGTTAGTGACCCTATTGTACAGATGACACTTGAGCCTTAGAGGCACAGAGCTGCCCTGCCCAAGAATTTGCACGTAGTGAGTGGCAGGACCTGGTCTAGGGCTCTTAGGGTGTGCCCAGGGAGGGAAAGAAAGGAGAGATTGTAGTGTGAAGGCAGGGATGGGTTTCTGAATCACTAGCACAGCAGATGCCTGCATTCTTCAAGTAAAACAGCCCGTTGCTGGGCTCCAGAAGGTCATTTTTAAGCCTCTGGTTTGTTTGAATCCATCCATTCACCCATCCTGATTTCCCTCCACCAAGACCATTCGGCCTCTGGAGGTCTAGAGACTCTGGCTTAGCATTTTTAGAGCAGCAAGTGCCGTTTTCTCTTATAACAGATAAAGACCCCAATGGCATGTTCAGTTCGAGGCACTTTGGGTCCTGAGCTAGAGAGTAGTAGTACTTAACCCATTTTGGAGAATTCCTTCAGCAGCTATGAGCTTGCTAGGAAAAATAAAGAAACCAAAGTGTAACTTCCTTCCTCTTAAGACTGGTTTTAAAGGACAGTTGAGCCACTGTAGATGAGACTTTTATCAACAGATGCACTAAGGTTTGGGAGCAAGAAAGCTGATATCAAGGACCTCTCTTTGATAACTCCCAGAAAATAATCAGCAGGGTCATGGGAAACGATTAACATATATAGTTGATGTATTTTTTTCTGTAACGAGTGTTTAAAACCAATTTTAACACTGGAGAATGTTTAACACTGGTGTACCCATCTTTCTCTAAAACGCCGTGAAGCAGCAATCATTCTGTTTGTTTGCATTGTTCTGGAGGATGTTTGCTTGTGGGCTTGTTGCGCTGATGGGCAGGGTTACTCCCAGGATATGGTAGCTCTCAACACACTGTTCTTCCCTCTCCAAGGAGTGTGCCCTCCTAGGAGAGTGAGTGCTCCTATAGTGGGTCTACTATATGCCCCACCTGCCACATTTATATAGAGAGAATGACTGAAGATAGCCCTGTGGAGAGCCTGCCTACACAGTTTTCAGGGTGCTCTATTGCTCTGCCTCTGCTCCAATTTCTACAGATAGGAGGCTGGGTTTGATAGACATCCTCAAATGACCATCTATTAGCATGGACATTAAGCCAAGCCTCAGACTTTGCTCCTCTCCCTATGGCAGTGTGCCAGAGGGGACATTGCTTCAATAGGACTGCCTACTCCTTTGTGGTAGTGAAGATTAAAAATCAACAAAAACTCTGTTTCTGATTAAACTTAGATTTGCTAGGAGCCTGGTGCTTATGAATTTTTGTGGGTCATCCTTTTGTGATTGTGCTTTCAAGTGAGTGAAGGAAGAATGAAAGAGAAAAAGAGTGTGGCAGCTCAGATGCCTGAGTCAAATTGTGAAGTCAGAGGCCATGTAGGAATGCAAGTGTTAACTGAGCAATTATTTAATGAGTGTCTACTATCTGCTGGGCACTGCTCTAGGTATTTCTAAGGACACAGCAGTGAACAAGCAGTTGCAGTGTTTCCAGAGCTCCCAGAGCCTACATTGTAGTGGAGGAAGACATGTAAATTTAGTAGAACTAAGTGCCAAGAGATAAATAAAGTAGTGGGACAGACTAAAGCAGTGTCAGTCTTGCTGTACAAGAGAATCACTTAAGGATCTTTCAAAGACGTCTTGGTCCCCCTCTCCCCCATTTCTGATTTAATTGTTCTGGGTTATGGCCTGGGCATTAGGGTGTTTAAAGCTCTTGGGCTAGGAACCGACATCTTGGGACATGTGTTGCATTATTACCTTGCAGCTCAGGAAGCCTAATTAGTTTGGGCATTCAGAAGAAAGAGGTGAGAGAAAGCAAAACAGATCAAATATAACTGCTACTGAGCCTGGAAACAGACATACTCCTACTACTCCCACCATAGTCTTTATCTTTACCATAGTCTTTACCCACATGATCAGATGGAGGGCAGAGCTGCAAACTGAGACCCTCAGTTAGGGTGTGGGAGGAGTGATGGAGCCAGCCGTACCTGGGCATAGCTACAACATATGTAATCTTCCAGTGGTTGTTTCTGTATCTGGGACTGATCTGGTCAAATTGTGCTGCAGCATTAATGTCCTAGCTTGGCAAATACTGCAGTTGCTGCCTCTGAAAAGCCTCCTGAGGGAGTTAGGTCCCTGGGCCATCTGCAGGAGATGGGGGGAAAGTAAAATCTGTGATCTCTATTATCCTTCTGCATTTCCTACACTGACTCCCACACAGTGTTTTTTGGCACATGAATCAGATTAAAATAACCATGAATGTCACTTTCTAAGAGTAAAACGACAGAGAGAGGTGGCCAAGAAAAAAGTATTTATTAGCACAGAAAAAGGGCTAGGACACTCCTTGCCATGTTGATATAGGGCTACTTGTAGCTCTATTGTAGCCATATGAGCCTCAAGATTTGTTTGTCAAGCACTAGTTGGCTAAGCCCTTTGCCATTTTCCTCAGCCCCACCTTCTCCAAATTTGCTGCATCGGGAAGGAGGTGCTGCAGTGAGACCCAAAAACCAAAAAAAACAAAACGGGGGATGTAAGCAGCTTCTAGATTTGAAAATGGGTGCTCAAGATAGGCCTTTGCAGTTTTCCATTACGCTTCTTTTCCTGCTACTACTTAGACAGATATTGGCAACCATTTACTGCACCCTTTATTTAAATATTTTTCTCCCCAGCTCTGTACTACACCTGCATTTAGGAGCTTCTGGGACAGAGAGAGTTGGTAGAAATAAAATACCAGCTCATATTGCTCAGAATCAATAAATGAGGTGAACTGGGAACTTCCTGAGATGCCTGGTGCAAACAAGTATGCCTCTCTTCTCAAAGCTGGGAGTTAAAAATGTTGGACTTTTAATGTGGGTGGTTCTTTCCTAGAATTTGGTCAGCAAGAAGGGAACTGAGAATTACAGTCTATAGGCAGGAAAATTTGAATTTTTCTGAGCTGTTTACCCTGGTGCCCAGGCAAGTCCCTTTAGTGTCCTGCTGCTGAGGCAACGTTGCCATTTGCCTAAAAGGGATGACATCTTCATCTTCATCTTTCTCTTTGGAACTAGGAAAGAATAAATATATTTTTATATCAGTCAAACTTAGAGATCAATTCCTAATATGGACTGTGGGTTTGGGTTATCCTTTTCCATGGGTCTTAAGCTCCCTTACTTAGAAGAAATTGATTTATATTAGTATCCTGTGTAGCTATGGCCCAGGCTATGATAGTCTGACCCAGCCTGTGATGCTATCATCATCGTTAAGATGACCTTGACTTGAAGCAGAGAAACTTGGTCAAGCGTGATCTGAACCCAAAAAAGAGTCCACTTTTTAACAACAAATAAAATATTCCTCAACACAGAATCTGCCATCTCTAGAGAAGGCTTCCCCTAAAGATCTGCCTGTCTTATTCTTAACCAAAGTATCTGCCTGTCTTCTCCGAAAGAGCTAGCCCTATGGAGTCTCTGACTTACAGAGTCCTTTTTGTATTTTTGAAAATTCCAATTTGGTTTTCTCCAGTTCTGCCTGCCTCTGGCTCCAGCGCACTTACATAATGTAATTCAGTTGCACATGCCGTCTGATCCAAAGGGTGAGCTTTAACTGATCACACAGGACCATGTGCTCTGAATTTTGGCCGTGTGAGCTCAGCTCGGAGCTGCCAAGGGTGAGCTGCCAGCCCCAAACACCACCACGTCCAAAGCCAGGCCACTTTTCTTTAGAGTCCCCCCTCATTGGAGTAAAGAGAAACTGGTCATGTGGAGAGGAGGGCTCCAAGAGAGCACAGAAGACCCAACGTTCTCTCTGATGAAAGAATGCATAAGCTTGCCCTGCGGAGCATTTGCCCATTAGCAGCCCTGCTCTGTGTTCCTTTGGCGTTACACAAAGCTGTCATCTGGTAGGCCTCAAAGGAGCCATAGCAGAGGCTTCTTTTTCTCTGACTGCCTGAAGGCTGGGACTTCTGGGGCCTGTTGCCTCCTGTGGGGGCCATCCTGAGGCCTCCTTTCTGGAGAAGCCCTGCAAGGGCTTGACTTAGAAGGGAAGTTGGAAGTAACAGCATTTCTAGAGGGCCAAAGAGAGGCATAAACCAGGACCTCAAGAGAGAAAGTTTAGTAGAATCAAATTAGAAGGAAAGAAAGGCAACTTGTTAAATACAAGCTAGAAGTAAAGTTCGGTTTTCTAAAATGTGCTTCAAAAACTATAATGTGTAAAAGAATGACCAGGGTATCTTAAGAAAATGCAGATTCTGATTCTGGTGGTCAGCTTCTGGGAGATTCACAGCCTGTTGATCCTCAGAGGAGCAAGGATCTGGTAGCAGAGTTGTCTTTTGAGTTGTGCTATAGTGCTCCCTGAAGGTTGAGTCTTGGGCAGGACAGCCTCAGTGTTCAGGTGATGAGTTCTGCACAAGAGATGGAGCTGATAAGGTTAAGAATGCAGCCCCTGAGACACACTGCCTGGGTTTGTATTCTGGCTGCTTATTAGATGTATGATGTTGGGCAAATTACTTAAACTCTTGGTGCCTCTGTTTCCTCATCCGCAAAATGGGAATAACCATAGTATCTACTTCATACGTTTTAGACTTAAATGAGGTAAATGTATGAAGCATGGTACCTGATTCATTTTAAGTGCTCATTAAATGTTGTTGCTATTTTTATTATTTGGTTGCTGAGTTCAGAGTTGGGCCTTCTGCTCCCTGCCTCAGCTATAGACATCTCTTGTCAAAGAAAAAAAGAGCTCTCATGGGGTTATCTTCAGAGATCCTGCAAGGATCTCTCCTTTTAGTAAATGAGATCTAGAAATAGAGGTGTATAGAAGGCAGCTTTCACATGTATGTCAACCTTATTTATAATTTCAAATCAAAGTCCTAATGTGAAGGAAGAGACCCCACAAGTACATGGCAAGACCATACCTGGGAGCGATAGAGAGAGGACCCTTTGACCTGGGGTTGCAGAATTTAAGTCGCCAGTTATCTGTTGGCATTTCTACCTAGCAGGGCCCAGATTTCAGGTGGCAAGAGGCTGTGTACATGGGCCTCTCATTTTCCCCTGAGAGGAGTAGGGCCGCCTGGGAGGAGGCCAAAGCAAGTGCGTCACTGATGTCTCAGCTTTCCTTTTCTGAGAGTGTAAGTTTTTCAAAAACAGAAATCCACAGAGGCGGAGCTTTTGGTTTGCATAAAGCAACATTCAGCCCTGGAGAGTCTGCACGCACTCTTAATTAGCATGATATTTGGGCCGGCTTGGACTCAGCTGTGATGGAATGTGGGTCTGTGGCCTTCCCTGCTGCTGAGGAAGTGTCCTGTGGAAGTCAGAGGCAGCAGTGGGGGATGGTTCTAGCTGGCAGCCTAGGAACAGTCACTGCTCTGTAAGCCTCCAATAGCCGGGGTGGGTGTCATGCAGCAGAGGAGGCATGGGGCTTCATTCTGTTCAAAATCAAATCTGGTGATTCCCATTGCTGACAGAGATGGGTGGGAGGTGCCAGAGGGTAGATAGCAGGAGGTATCTGAACCAGGTTACCTGTCAGAGCTTAGTTTCTGAGGAAGATTAGAAAGTCAGTGTTACTTAAAGACAGGTTTATGTTTATCAGAGGGATTCCAAACACATGAGGTCCTGCAGAATCTCTGCCCCAGAGCAGTGTCTGGTATGCTACTAAAAGGCTTTAGCAGTGAGGCACAGAGAGGAAAACAAGGCTTCAGAGTCTGACTCACCTAGATTCCCACCCCAGCTTTGTCACTTAGTAACTATGACCTGTGTAGACAAATTAATCCCTTCTACCTTTTTCCTCATCTATAAAATGAAGATAATATTTCCCTTCAAAATATGTTGAGAGAATGAAAAAGAGGACACATTTAAAAAGCATAACAGTTGTATAATAACATTGATAATACTGTTAGCCTCTGGGGAGGGGAATTAAATTCCTGGGGATGCAGGGAGAGACTTTTTACTGTGTACTTTTTTATAACTTGAATGTTGAACCACATGATCTGTTCAAAATGTTAATTTCAATTAATTTAAAAGCAAAACATACCATAAAATGTGTTGATTGAATTTCTCAGATAGGGGATTGTGCCCAACTAAATAGTTAATAAATTTTGTGATCATACAAAAATAAACAAAATGCTGAAGGCACTCAGCAGCAGCAGATGTCATCTCCTTTCCCTCTCCCAGGGTGACCCAGCTCTCAGGCTAGGTCACTTGAGTATATTGAGTCCCCTCCACTCCATCCTAACCCTCACCCCGGACGGCATGTAGGGATGTCATATAGAGAAGGACCTTCCAAGGCCTTCTCTGTCTTAGGATGAGAATCTGGTAGCCAGAACCCTGGAGAGGCTTGGAGAGTGAGCCACCTGTGAGAAGAAATCCCAGGAGCTGGTGACCCAGCCCACACTATGGGGCAATGGCAGTAGATAGATACACAGCCCAGAGCATGAATTCAGAACATCAGGGAGTTTGCTCAACCAGGGCAGGTAGGATTTTCAGGGCTATTTCAGTCTTGTTCCTCTGCTAATAGGACCTCAGGCTTCCATACCATAGTCCTGCCTTTGGTTTTCAAGTGGCTTTCTCATCTGTTCTCCCTGTTGATTATCACAACAGCCCATTGTGATGGACTAATATTTACACACAGGACCTGAGACTAAGAGGGTATAAGTGACTTGTCTCTGATCACAGAAAAACAAGAGCAGGAACTGCACTGTATAAGTGCCAAGCACTGTACTAAATGTTTTTCATGCATTATTTGATTTTCTTAGCAATTCTATGGGATATGTATTAATATCAATTCCATATTGCATATTAGGAAAAAAAGCTCAAGGTGCTGACTACCTAAAGTCATGCAGCTAGTGAGTGGCAAAGCCAGAATTTCAGTTGAGGTGGTGCTGATCCCCTGCCATCTCACACCTGGACTCAAATCCAGGCCTCTCTAGTCCTGGTCCTAATGATGCTACTTGTTTGGCATACATAGTACACCAGCTTCTCCCTGCTTTGTTAGGAAAAAGAGCAACTTTTTATTAGGTTACCACTAACAAGGCCTGTGTGGACTCTGCAGATTCCTCCTTCAGTCTCTGGAAGATTTGGACACAAGTTTAAGGAAACTGAACTCCCGCCTGTTTGTGGTCCGGGGACAGCCAGCTGATGTGTTCCCAAGGCTATTCAAGGTAAGTATGCAGAGGCCTAGAGAAGACAGTGAGATTCTGCTCCCTAGGCTTTTTCACAGACTGAATGAGGTGATACTCCGAGTAAATGGAAATTGTCGGTGTTGGTCTGACTGTCGCTGCTAGGGAANGCCAGGTGCCCCCACCTCGCCGGGGACGCTGGGCCCTCCCTCAACTCTCTCGTCCCCACGGCTTCCCGTAAGACTCTGGCCTGAAACCTGGGGCAGGGAGACAACCGGGTCTCCAGAGGGGAGAAGCCAGGAGGGGAGAAGAAATTAAGTCGTCGTAGCAATCGCCTTCTGACAGAGAGCGTTTACTCTGTTATTTCCTTTGGGGCCTCACAACGTTCTTGTGGAGCAGAGTTAGTGACCCTATTGTACAGATGACACTTGAGCCTTAGAGGCACAGAGCTGCCCTGCCCAAGAATTTGCACGTAGTGAGTGGCAGGACCTGGTCTAGGGCTCTTAGGGTGTGCCCAGGGAGGGAAAGAAAGGAGAGATTGTAGTGTGAAGGCAGGGATGGGTTTCTGAATCACTAGCACAGCAGATGCCTGCATTCTTCAAGTAAAACAGCCCGTTGCTGGGCTCCAGAAGGTCATTTTTAAGCCTCTGGTTTGTTTGAATCCATCCATTCACCCATCCTGATTTCCCTCCACCAAGACCATTCGGCCTCTGGAGGTCTAGAGACTCTGGCTTAGCATTTTTAGAGCAGCAAGTGCCGTTTTCTCTTATAACAGATAAAGACCCCAATGGCATGTTCAGTTCGAGGCACTTTGGGTCCTGAGCTAGAGAGTAGTAGTACTTAACCCATTTTGGAGAATTCCTTCAGCAGCTATGAGCTTGCTAGGAAAAATAAAGAAACCAAAGTGTAACTTCCTTCCTCTTAAGACTGGTTTTAAAGGACAGTTGAGCCACTGTAGATGAGACTTTTATCAACAGATGCACTAAGGTTTGGGAGCAAGAAAGCTGATATCAAGGACCTCTCTTTGATAACTCCCAGAAAATAATCAGCAGGGTCATGGGAAACGATTAACATATATAGTTGATGTATTTTTTTCTGTAACGAGTGTTTAAAACCAATTTTAACACTGGAGAATGTTTAACACTGGTGTACCCATCTTTCTCTAAAACGCCGTGAAGCAGCAATCATTCTGTTTGTTTGCATTGTTCTGGAGGATGTTTGCTTGTGGGCTTGTTGCGCTGATGGGCAGGGTTACTCCCAGGATATGGTAGCTCTCAACACACTGTTCTTCCCTCTCCAAGGAGTGTGCCCTCCTAGGAGAGTGAGTGCTCCTATAGTGGGTCTACTATATGCCCCACCTGCCACATTTATATAGAGAGAATGACTGAAGATAGCCCTGTGGAGAGCCTGCCTACACAGTTTTCAGGGTGCTCTATTGCTCTGCCTCTGCTCCAATTTCTACAGATAGGAGGCTGGGTTTGATAGACATCCTCAAATGACCATCTATTAGCATGGACATTAAGCCAAGCCTCAGACTTTGCTCCTCTCCCTATGGCAGTGTGCCAGAGGGGACATTGCTTCAATAGGACTGCCTACTCCTTTGTGGTAGTGAAGATTAAAAATCAACAAAAACTCTGTTTCTGATTAAACTTAGATTTGCTAGGAGCCTGGTGCTTATGAATTTTTGTGGGTCATCCTTTTGTGATTGTGCTTTCAAGTGAGTGAAGGAAGAATGAAAGAGAAAAAGAGTGTGGCAGCTCAGATGCCTGAGTCAAATTGTGAAGTCAGAGGCCATGTAGGAATGCAAGTGTTAACTGAGCAATTATTTAATGAGTGTCTACTATCTGCTGGGCACTGCTCTAGGTATTTCTAAGGACACAGCAGTGAACAAGCAGTTGCAGTGTTTCCAGAGCTCCCAGAGCCTACATTGTAGTGGAGGAAGACATGTAAATTTAGTAGAACTAAGTGCCAAGAGATAAATAAAGTAGTGGGACAGACTAAAGCAGTGTCAGTCTTGCTGTACAAGAGAATCACTTAAGGATCTTTCAAAGACGTCTTGGTCCCCCTCTCCCCCATTTCTGATTTAATTGTTCTGGGTTATGGCCTGGGCATTAGGGTGTTTAAAGCTCTTGGGCTAGGAACCGACATCTTGGGACATGTGTTGCATTATTACCTTGCAGCTCAGGAAGCCTAATTAGTTTGGGCATTCAGAAGAAAGAGGTGAGAGAAAGCAAAACAGATCAAATATAACTGCTACTGAGCCTGGAAACAGACATACTCCTACTACTCCCACCATAGTCTTTATCTTTACCATAGTCTTTACCCACATGATCAGATGGAGGGCAGAGCTGCAAACTGAGACCCTCAGTTAGGGTGTGGGAGGAGTGATGGAGCCAGCCGTACCTGGGCATAGCTACAACATATGTAATCTTCCAGTGGTTGTTTCTGTATCTGGGACTGATCTGGTCAAATTGTGCTGCAGCATTAATGTCCTAGCTTGGCAAATACTGCAGTTGCTGCCTCTGAAAAGCCTCCTGAGGGAGTTAGGTCCCTGGGCCATCTGCAGGAGATGGGGGGAAAGTAAAATCTGTGATCTCTATTATCCTTCTGCATTTCCTACACTGACTCCCACACAGTGTTTTTTGGCACATGAATCAGATTAAAATAACCATGAATGTCACTTTCTAAGAGTAAAACGACAGAGAGAGGTGGCCAAGAAAAAAGTATTTATTAGCACAGAAAAAGGGCTAGGACACTCCTTGCCATGTTGATATAGGGCTACTTGTAGCTCTATTGTAGCCATATGAGCCTCAAGATTTGTTTGTCAAGCACTAGTTGGCTAAGCCCTTTGCCATTTTCCTCAGCCCCACCTTCTCCAAATTTGCTGCATCGGGAAGGAGGTGCTGCAGTGAGACCCAAAAACCAAAAAAAACAAAACGGGGGATGTAAGCAGCTTCTAGATTTGAAAATGGGTGCTCAAGATAGGCCTTTGCAGTTTTCCATTACGCTTCTTTTCCTGCTACTACTTAGACAGATATTGGCAACCATTTACTGCACCCTTTATTTAAATATTTTTCTCCCCAGCTCTGTACTACACCTGCATTTAGGAGCTTCTGGGACAGAGAGAGTTGGTAGAAATAAAATACCAGCTCATATTGCTCAGAATCAATAAATGAGGTGAACTGGGAACTTCCTGAGATGCCTGGTGCAAACAAGTATGCCTCTCTTCTCAAAGCTGGGAGTTAAAAATGTTGGACTTTTAATGTGGGTGGTTCTTTCCTAGAATTTGGTCAGCAAGAAGGGAACTGAGAATTACAGTCTATAGGCAGGAAAATTTGAATTTTTCTGAGCTGTTTACCCTGGTGCCCAGGCAAGTCCCTTTAGTGTCCTGCTGCTGAGGCAACGTTGCCATTTGCCTAAAAGGGATGACATCTTCATCTTCATCTTTCTCTTTGGAACTAGGAAAGAATAAATATATTTTTATATCAGTCAAACTTAGAGATCAATTCCTAATATGGACTGTGGGTTTGGGTTATCCTTTTCCATGGGTCTTAAGCTCCCTTACTTAGAAGAAATTGATTTATATTAGTATCCTGTGTAGCTATGGCCCAGGCTATGATAGTCTGACCCAGCCTGTGATGCTATCATCATCGTTAAGATGACCTTGACTTGAAGCAGAGAAACTTGGTCAAGCGTGATCTGAACCCAAAAAAGAGTCCACTTTTTAACAACAAATAAAATATTCCTCAACACAGAATCTGCCATCTCTAGAGAAGGCTTCCCCTAAAGATCTGCCTGTCTTATTCTTAACCAAAGTATCTGCCTGTCTTCTCCGAAAGAGCTAGCCCTATGGAGTCTCTGACTTACAGAGTCCTTTTTGTATTTTTGAAAATTCCAATTTGGTTTTCTCCAGTTCTGCCTGCCTCTGGCTCCAGCGCACTTACATAATGTAATTCAGTTGCACATGCCGTCTGATCCAAAGGGTGAGCTTTAACTGATCACACAGGACCATGTGCTCTGAATTTTGGCCGTGTGAGCTCAGCTCGGAGCTGCCAAGGGTGAGCTGCCAGCCCCAAACACCACCACGTCCAAAGCCAGGCCACTTTTCTTTAGAGTCCCCCCTCATTGGAGTAAAGAGAAACTGGTCATGTGGAGAGGAGGGCTCCAAGAGAGCACAGAAGACCCAACGTTCTCTCTGATGAAAGAATGCATAAGCTTGCCCTGCGGAGCATTTGCCCATTAGCAGCCCTGCTCTGTGTTCCTTTGGCGTTACACAAAGCTGTCATCTGGTAGGCCTCAAAGGAGCCATAGCAGAGGCTTCTTTTTCTCTGACTGCCTGAAGGCTGGGACTTCTGGGGCCTGTTGCCTCCTGTGGGGGCCATCCTGAGGCCTCCTTTCTGGAGAAGCCCTGCAAGGGCTTGACTTAGAAGGGAAGTTGGAAGTAACAGCATTTCTAGAGGGCCAAAGAGAGGCATAAACCAGGACCTCAAGAGAGAAAGTTTAGTAGAATCAAATTAGAAGGAAAGAAAGGCAACTTGTTAAATACAAGCTAGAAGTAAAGTTCGGTTTTCTAAAATGTGCTTCAAAAACTATAATGTGTAAAAGAATGACCAGGGTATCTTAAGAAAATGCAGATTCTGATTCTGGTGGTCAGCTTCTGGGAGATTCACAGCCTGTTGATCCTCAGAGGAGCAAGGATCTGGTAGCAGAGTTGTCTTTTGAGTTGTGCTATAGTGCTCCCTGAAGGTTGAGTCTTGGGCAGGACAGCCTCAGTGTTCAGGTGATGAGTTCTGCACAAGAGATGGAGCTGATAAGGTTAAGAATGCAGCCCCTGAGACACACTGCCTGGGTTTGTATTCTGGCTGCTTATTAGATGTATGATGTTGGGCAAATTACTTAAACTCTTGGTGCCTCTGTTTCCTCATCCGCAAAATGGGAATAACCATAGTATCTACTTCATACGTTTTAGACTTAAATGAGGTAAATGTATGAAGCATGGTACCTGATTCATTTTAAGTGCTCATTAAATGTTGTTGCTATTT